TCAAGTATCTTAGCTTTTTAAATGTTTTAAAATATAAGGAGGGAACTCAGTAGATGCATGGAGTACTTTGTGCTGATTTTAAAAAAGAGATTAGGGATTGGGGGGGAAACCTTTATAAAGACTCAAAAACTCATGGTACAGTTCAGTTATTTTTGATATGTTACTAGCTTTACAAGTAAGTTTCAACTTTGCTAAATAAAATGTGGGAATGGGGACAACTGATTTTTACATCCTCCAAATTCTCCTCATTGTATCTCAAACACAAAACGTCATTAAAACCAAACAGCATATAATTTATAGTATGGCATTTGAAAAATACTTTTTTTTAATTTTATGGGGCTCAAACTCACAACCCTGAGACCAGGAGTCACATGCTCTGTGGACCAATCCAGCAGGCACCCCTATAATATGGCATTTTTTAAAATGAAGCAAAGTTTTAATGATTTTTAAAAATAGGCTAAGCTGTTTACCAAACCAAATATTACTTTACCAATCCTTAAAAGGAAGGAATTAAATATTACTATTTAATATAAAATTTTAAGCTTGAAATCTTAAAAAAATTTTTTTCAAATGTTTATTTATTTTTGACAGAGAGAGAGACAGAGCACAAGCAGGAGAGGGGCAGAGAGAGAAGGAGACACAGAATCTGAAACAGGCTCCAGGCTCCGAGGTGTCAGCACAGAGCGCAAGGCAGGGCTCGAACCCACAAACTGTGAGATCATGACCTGAGCCAACGTTGGACGCTTAACCGACTGAGCCACCCAGCCACCCCGTAAACTTGAAATCTTATAAAAGAAAAGAAACACACTTCCAAAATAACACCAAAAAAGACATGTCTTTTTTAAAGCTTTTAATTTAAAAAAACAAAAACAAAAACAAAAACAAGAAATCGATAAAACAGGAGATGGCATTCAAAAGGACAAGTAATTAAATCATAATATTTCTGTTTCTTTTAATTTGCTGTAACAATTAATTTTCTTTGGAGTGTTGTTTTTTTAATGTGCATTTCTTCCCAAAGAAAAATCACTAAGAAATAAGTTTTCCAACATAAAAAATCTACTCGGGGTTTCCTTGGGAGCTATAAACAACGGGCGCACTTTTCAGGGACAACACAAATGTGAAACTAATGACACAGAAACCGCACCAGATTCTTACATACTCAGGCATACGGTGACACAAACACCAGTGCTTTTTCTTGAGGACTCATGAGACTATTTCCAGTTTTGACCTGGGAAGAACAAAAACTAGGATAACTTTCTCTGTTTGGCAGAGAAATCTCATCGGCTTCAAATACCAGCGCTGTCACTGTGAAATGAGTTGACCTAAGGTGTCACTCTCTATAATTCAATTCACAGAGCATAACGGATTCACAGAGCTCTTTCTGTAAAAGGCATGTGCGGTGTGTGTGTGTATATGTCTATGTATGTGTTGCATGGTTTGTAAATTTTTTTGAAAATTTCTTATCATAAAGATTCCATCTAAGGATTAGAACTTCCTTCTGCCTGCACAGGGTTCCCCAAGTTCTGTCACTCTGCCACTAGCACCAAGCCTCTTGGTAATGCTTAGAAGCCTGCATCAAAGACAGGAAGGGAAAAGCAGAAGTGAAAGGGAGATGAAAACATAGGACCCAAGAAACAGAAAAACCTAAGAAAGCTTGCTTACCATAATACTAATTGATGATATAATAATTTGTACCCCCATGGCATCCAACATAATTCTGAACTCAGTGTGTTTCTAAATTCAGTCATAAAATCCTGTTCATGTTAGCTTATCCAACATATGCAACCTATCTTTTTTTTTTGTATAAATAACAGGCAAAATTTGTACATAAACTTAAATTTGTACAAATGTTGTCCTGTCCTCCAGGTGGGTTGGAGTAATTACTCTATCACCGGATCCCTATTTTGTGACCGTGAATAAGTTTTTGTATGGCATGCTTGTTTTATCAACACCATAATTGTAATAAGATAAATACTCTCCAACCTGGATGAGTCCATATAAATACCAATTTCAATAATAAATCCACCCATAGTCACAATTTGCAATGGAAGTCCTGAATATGTATTAGACATTTCAAATAAATAGCAAAGCTGGAGTGTCATACCCTGAAATGCTAAACTGTCATTCAGGAAGTTGAAGGAAAACTTGAACATATTTTCTAGCCAGTTAATTTTTTTTAATGTTGAAATTTTCAATGTAAGTCACAATTTCTGAGGTTTATATTAGAAAAGAAAAACTCAGCAAGAAAAATATTGTAAGCATTTCTAGTGACCCTACTACTGGACGTCTCAGTCTCAATGCATACAATACTGTTACATTTTGCTCTTAGACCCTGTTCTTTCATTTTTCCAGTGGAACTCTGTAGTCACATGTGTTTGAATAGAATTCTGAAGGAAACAAGAAGAGGGGATGACAGAACCAGTGTCACGCTCTTCCTGTATAGATTCTACATGCCATATGGAACAACCCAACCTTTGGCAAACTTCAGATCACAGGGTACATGTTTTAGGAGTCCACCAAATTAAAATCTGTGTTTCCCAGATTTCAAAGGCATTAATGTAGTAGTTGTCTGGGAATTATCAAAGGCAGAGGAAACACCGCCTCATGGTAATATACTGGATGGAAAACAATTAGCATTTTCAGGTAGTAGGGATTGCGAGAGAAAACTAACTGCAGATTCTCCACCAGACTCAACTCAAAATTTCAGGATACCATGAAGAAATTCCAAGGCAGAAAACCACACTAAATTCTAAGGTTTCACATTCTCATCGTGCATCATTCTAGAATGTTCTAGAATTGTATCATGGACCTTTGCTGGAAATCTGATTCTATGTATTCAGACCAGAACCAATAGTTAAGAGTTGCGGGTAAGATTCTCATAAAAGAAAAGGCGTTTCTATACTCAAAGTCTTTATAGCACATTTTTTGTAGGACTCACCAGAGGAGGAATAGAACTTTTTTAGGTTTATAAACCACAAAAATGTGAATGACGTTTGTAGGGTTTGGTGGCCATGCTGAACATGTAGCAAAACTGGAATGGAAGTCAGGCAATCATGTTCACATCCTGGCTCTTTCAGTGAAACCATATTTGTGGGTATGTAGGGTACTTTTCCTCCATCCAAAAGACAATCCAAAAATTCCTCCACAGACTTTAGACATAAACTAATGAATGACATCACCTTTAATGGTGAAATGAGGAAACATAAAATATAACAGTGAAGAGTTCCACATCTTAAAGGTAATTTCCTTAACAAAAATAAATCACCTGACACCCAACTGATCAAAAGGAGGGTATGGGCTAATACTTTAACATTTTAAAATTTGCTACTACCATAATGGTACTATATCCCAATATTAATTGGCATCTACATATTTCTTTGTAGTGCTGAGGTTTTCATATATTTTTACACGGTTAAGACTTCTTCTGTGGATATGGTACCTATGATATCCTACCAGGTTCCAATATATAGCATACCATATTTGCATTAACAAAATATTATTTTTCATTTTATACTTTTAGATTACTGTCTATATATGATGAAAAGTATTTAATATTTTTGTCTCCAAACTTCCTCTGTAAAAGAGGATGCATCTTATACATACCTGTATGTGTTACAGAACAGCAATTATATTGGGTATGCTTGTTTCTTTGGGTTACAATTTCCTTCTTTGTCCAATGATAGAGGCCACTACTAAGTTCATTAGGCTGTTGCAAACATCAAGATCATTTAGGCACAAGGTTTTTGAGATAAATAAAGCATTATAAAAAATGTTCTTACCCTGTTACGAGCTACAGGAGCAACAAGGGATTAAGTCAGATTCCTCTGGGGAATATAGAATTTCCTCTACTGTAAGACCTGCCCAGTTCCTTGGCTAATGGATGGGTCAGCCTAGAGAAGAAAAAACATTTAAAGAGACCTTTCCAAGGCTGGTAGGCAGTTGAATTTTCTTGCCAATGGAATTAGCTGAACGATCTATTCTGTACACGTAAGTTTGAAGTTGGCCTTCAATTTCCAACCATTGCCCAAGAGTTTAAAGAAGAGAGAAGGTCACACCTATGAAAGTAAGAGATAAAATGTTTTTGTCTGTAGTTAAACACAAAAACACATCTCTGTTAAACTGACCCCTTGCGTTTAACACAATGACTGAATTTCCTTTCAGAAGGTATGGTTGTATACATATTTCTTATGATTTAACCTTCCACTAATCTAAACAATATTTCTTAAAAAATACCCCCAAATATGCTTCATCCTTTAACACTGCCCAATTAGTTGAAATTTGAATACTTCTTCCAGCTCTGTAAATATAATCATTTTGTCTAAATTTTTGTCTCAACATAAAAATCTCAGCATAGGGGCCAGCTTTTACTCAAACTACCTGTTTCAGATATGTATTACAATGGAAAAGACAACCAACAAATAAATATATGAGTAGGAAAAAAAAGGCTGGAAGTAACTACCTTTAAAATACTTGGTTGGTAGGATTATGGCTAATCTAATCTTGATTTTGGTCCACTGGCCTACATCCTCTACAAACTTTTTTTTTTTAAGGTTTATTTTTATTTATTTTGAGAGAGAGATAGACAGCAAGCAGGGGAGGGGCAGAGACAGAGAGAGGGAGACAGAATCCCAAGCAAGCTCCACACTGTCAGAGCAGAGCCCAACGCGGGGCTTAAACTCACCAAACGTGAGATCATGATCTGAGCTAAAATCAAGAGTTACACACTTAACCAACTGAGCCACCCAGGCGCCCCGCTCCTCTACAACCTTTGAACAGTTTTCTGTTTTACAACAAGCATGTATTACTTTTACAAGAAGGGTATGGGGGAGTCATTGACATAGAAAGTGTCTCAAGAATACTAGATAAATATACAACACGAGATGCCTCTGACATTGTCTCAGACACTGAACAGGAAATGGAAGGCTCACAAAAGTTCCTCTTCACAGCTAGCTCAACCTGCTTGAACAATGCTAAGTGTGTAATAATATTTTTTTTTTTTTAAAAGAGAGAGATAAATACCATTTTAGAAAAAATTAAAGCACATTTCCTTTTAGGGGCGACTAATTCAGCAACATTTAACGAAGCTTTTAAAACGCAATTGTCACAGAGCACCATTAAATATTCACACGAAAGAGACCCAGGCAGCTTAAAGATGGACATGTCCTTGTTCTTGAGATGCCCAATCCGCTTGCAACAATATGAAAAATATTCAGTGCATCTGGTTGGGGCCCACATGGATGATGACGTGTTTCTCGTAAGCCCTTTTCATTGTTTTCTCGATTTGCTTCAAAAACACTTGTGGGATTCGTCCACATAAAGTGTGCACAGTCTCCAAAAACTTCAGCTGGAGAGGGTAATACATGGATTGAAAGAGATTGTCTTGAAAGGGAAACTGAAAAATGGTTTAAAAAAAAAATGAAAGAAAATGTTTTAGTTACTGAAATGCCATTTAAAACGCAAACAACATTTACCGAAAAATGAAACAGGGAATTAAGCATGCAAGCATAGGTTTGGAAGTTCGTTTTTTTTTTTTTTAATTTTTAAAAAATATTTATTTTGGGGGGAGAGAGAGAGCACGCGCATGAGTGGGGGAGGGGCAGAAAGAGAGGGAGACACAGAATCTGAAACAGGCTCCAGGCTCCGAGCTGTCACCACAGAACCTGATGCGGGACTCGAACTCACGAGCTATGAGATCATGACCTGCGCCTAAGTCGCACGTTTAACCGACTGAGCCACCCAGGTGCCTCAGTTTGGATGTTCTTAGACATAGTGGAAGGGAACTCTGAGGATAGAAATTCAAAACCTGATTCAATCCTGTGCAACCTGAGGCAATTACTTACCCTATTTGGGCTTCACTTTCTTTCTTTTGTTCTTTTTTTTTTTTTTTTTTAAATATGGTTTATTTGGGTCCTTAAAACTCTTAAAAGCTAAGACCAACATGTATCTTCAGGGACAGGATATTCTCTACATTGTATGTTCTTGCTGAAGAGAAGCAAGGCTCAAGTAGAGACGTGACATCACCTGCAATAAGACACTGAATTCCTCATATATTTTGTTTGTCTCAATCTCTTCTTTTCCTATTTATTTATTTATTTATTTATTTATTTATTTATTTATTTATTTATTTTGAGAGACAGAGAGAGAGACAGACAGACAGACAGACAGACAGAAGGGCAGAGAGAGAGAGAATCCTAAGCAGGGTCCGTGCACTGCCACTGCAGAGCCTGATGCAGGGCTCCATCCCACGAGCCATGAGATCATGGCCTGAGTTGAAACCAAGAGTCAGATGCAGAAGTGACTGAGCCACCCAGGTGCCCCTGTGTTTGTCTCAATCTTAAATGAAGAAACTCTAGGGTATGTCTATAGTAATCTGATGAAGTCCACAGTTTGGCAATTACTAGTGAAATCTAACATCCATGAAATTCATTTTAATAACTCAGGTACCAAACACTGCTTGTTGGTTTTTTCCCCATATAATCCTGTGCTTTTCTTTTCTTTTCTTTTCTTTTCTTTTCTTTTCTTTTCTTTTCTTTTCTTTTCTTTTC